GGTAATTCTATACTCATTATCAATTACTTTAAATTTTTTGTTTATATTAAAAATTAATATTATATTTACTCATTTATATTTAGATGGTATTTTTTTTATTAAGAAGCAAGGACAATCTCTATCAATCAATAAGAGTCAAGGACAAACAATATAAAGAAGTGTTTCCTATGCTATGACATGATCAATAAGAGTCAAAAACAGTCTCTGTCGCACGTCGGCTTACTACTGAAGAGCTCTGCATTTAGTCATGAGCAATTATACGTGGCGCTTCTTAGAGTTACGAGTCAGTGGGGTTTGAAGATTTTGATTTGAGCTGAGGGAGATTTTGACGATAGAAAAACCACGACGTTGTTTTATAAAGAAGTGTTTAAGAATATTTATATTTTTTTTCTTAATTTTTTTCAATGAATTTGTTATGATTTTTACTATTGTTTATAATTTTTATTATTTTTTCATGTACCATATAATTTTCCGTGCAAATGCACGGGACAAAAACTAGTTATTGGATTGAAAGGGGGTTCCGTGATTAGTAGTAAACTTGCCAACTTTTATATAAAGATATCAATTACAATAAAAATTATTTAACGATATGCATCGCATTTATAATTGAATTGTTACATTAAGTAAGTTATTGAGAATTATTACATTTTAGTTTAATTTTTAGATTTTAGTGAAAAAAAAAATATATAAAAGTGAAATTTGTATATGTTAATGACAATTGTTGTATGAATATAATGAATAATATAATTTTTATAGAATTTGAGCATTTTAATAATAACTATTACAGGCTAAGAATCTTTATCACGTGGATCCGATGAGCTTATTCACTAGCTTACTTGATAGAGGCTCTGTCAAGAGCAAAAGGGACTTATTCCTTTTGGACCTTGGCTCCTAGGGCGGGTTTTTACGGCTCCTCGTTCAATTCTTTCGAATTCATTGGCTCGACACCAACCTTCTTGGTATTGATCTCCATCTTTTGAATCCCCAGTGCGTCCAAATAAAAGAAAAAAAACAACATTATTACTAATAGGATTAGCTTAATTTTAGTTACTTAAATATTGAGCAACAATCAAAGTTTGGTTTTTGGGTATTAAAAAAAAATAATAACTGATGTATAATATTTTGAAAAATGTTATAAGTACATAATAAATGTACATGGAAGTATACATAACACTCATATGGAGTAGGGTCCAATTGACTTTTTATTTTTGGTAGAACCCACTTAATGTGAGTGTTATGTACACCTCTATATACAATATTATGTACTTATAACATTTCTCTCACATTTTGGGGGCAGTGGTCATCCGGTCAACAATCATTAATAAAAGGATTATCATGATTTTTGAAAAATAAAATGTAACCAGTTTTAGTAATTAGAATAAAAAAAGATTAATGTGTAAAGTTATGGCGGAAAAATGCCACGTAGATATAATTTATTATTTTTTATTAAAAAGGTTTTATTTAATGAATTACTAGTTTATTAATGTGTGTTATATATATATATATATATATATATATATATA